CCCCAAAACCCCAAAACCCCAAAACCCCAAAACCCCTTCTGATTTCCCTTTAAATGAAAAAGATCAGTTAATTTTTATTTCATAAGATCCTTTTGTCAGCTACTTAAACAATGCTGCAAGAGGATCATCTTCTTCACCCTTTTTAGATGTTTTCGCTCTGACTATTTCAGTTTTTGATCTACTTTCACTACCTCTCTTCTTTGTTAGATCTGAAAAGTAAGAATCATATTTTGAAGGGTAGTTAAGCTTGAGGTGAAGTAAGAAATCATTTCATTCGCCACTTCCCGCTCCATTTCTACCTTTTTGTGTTCTGAAAATTGCTGGTCCGCTGCTCTGTGTCATCTTTTCAACGAGATAAATAATTTTCTCAATTGGAGATGGCTGAGGATCGATATAATAAACCTCCAAAGAGCATAATGCCAATAACTCCACGAATAAGTGTTCATCAATTCAATAATTTTCCTCATTTTCCATTGTTGCTGCAGGTGAATGGACCTTCTTCTTCGAGTTCTCCTTATAGAACCCTGCCAAAGTATTGAAAAATCTGTAGAGTTTCGACTTGGATAGATAATCAGGGAAAATTCCAAAGTCCTTAGAGAAGTTCAAAAAATTCTTGAATTTCATCAAGCCGTTGTCATCTGAATAATGATCATAGTAAGGGTAAAGAGTTTTGTGGACTATTCCTAACAGCTCTAGCACTTCTTTATCTTTTAAAACCTCCATTATAACTTCTCAATATCCCCTTCGTCAGATGTTTTTGTTAGATTCAATTTTTGCTCTAGTGGCTGTATTTTATCTTGAACAAGCTTTAGTAAAGCCTGATCTTTATCCAAAGATGGGTAAAGTTGACATGAGATTTGTTGAAGAGCAATAATAAATTCTCCCAATTCCATCCTTCCAGCTACAGCAGTAGCTTTGGTTATTCCTTTCTTCTTATTTTTCTTGGATATTATTTTGGTAAATAACAAATCTGCCTCTACTGTTGATAAATGCTTAGATTTCTCCATTTTCAAAAATTATTTAATAAAACGGGGTTTTGGGGTTTTGGGGTTTTGGGGTTTTGGGG